ATCCTTTTTAACTAGAATGTATATGCTGAATTCTATCATTCTTAATAGACTTGGGAGTTACTTCATGTGCTAAGTGAACACGCAGATTTTGTGTCCTTTGTTTCATGGTCTCCTAATGATTCAATGCTCTTGACATGTGGACAAGATAATGAAATTAAGCTTTGGAATGTGCAAGTAGGCCTATAATTTATTTCATTATAATTCGCTATTCCTAACTATAATGAAGTGTTTTTATCAATTTATTTATATTCTTTTTTTTAAGACGGGCGAGTGTGTGAACACAATGAAGAAACATACGGAATTTGTCACAGCGTGTGCATGGCTTCCAGATGGAAAAAGCTTTATATCAGGCAGTCAAGATAAAAATACATTTTTATGGGTACGTTCATTCTCATATCTATTATTCATATGTGAGTGATTCGGGATGATATATGAAAACACATAATTCTATATTATAGGATCTTGAAGGTACAATACTATATAAATGGCATGGACCACGTATAGTAGATCTAGCAGTAAATAAAGAAGGCACAAAGATGGTGGCTATTAGTACCGAAAGGAAGATTCACATATACGATTTAGTCAGCAAGATGGAAGAAGCGTGTGTATCATAATATTTAAATCCATCCTAGAATGCGCGTTCTTTCATGGTATTTATAATACTCGTTTTTTTTAGTGTTCTAGACGAGGATGCCGATATCACATCGGTATGCTTATCGAATGACTGTAAAAATATACTGATGAATTTGGCATCACAGGTAAATGCAAAATAAGAGACCTTCGAGATTCTTAACCATTATATTAATTATATATGATTGGTACATGCAGGAAATTCATTTGTGGGACATCGACCAAAAACGACTTGTCCGTAAATATCATGGGCAAGCTCAGGGTAAATATATCATTCGTTCTTGCTTCGGCGGTATTGATCAAGGCTTCGTTGTTAGTGGAAGTGAAGGTAATTAATTGATTTATTATTCAACACGAGTAAATTTTATATTTATGACTCATGAGTTTTTATTTATTTTGGTTGATAGATTCGAATATTTACGTGTGGCATCGAGAGCATGCTGCCTTAATCGAGGTATTGTCGGGACATAGTGGTACTGTTAATAGTGTCAATTGGAGTCCAGTTAATCCTTATTTATTTGCTTCGGCTGGCGACGATAACACTATACGAATGTAAGTATATAGTTACTGATCCACTTTCAACGAGTCAATTCTAACGATTCGATTTTTCTTAGATGGGGAACTGCGAATACCACTGAAACGAAAGAAAAAATGAAAACACCCTAATCTAAAGTGAATAATTAATTAATTAATTTTTTTACATGGTAAATGAGTAGTTTAAACTAAATTTAGCTTTTATATCTTTATTTCCCTCATCCTTCCTCCGCCCTTTACAATCCTTCACCAAGAAACGCATGATTGGATCCATCATGCTTGCTAATAATGACACATTCAAAACATAATGCACATACAAAACCCTGTTTTTCTCGATTTTCTTCTGATTTTTGCCTTTTGCATCCTAGGATTCGATTTTTTCGGTAAAAATGACCTCCCTTTGTCAAACATAATGAATTTTCTCTTAATGTATTTTGTTTTATTTGTAGATATGAACATTTGCGTGCTCACTTAGCACATGAAGTAACTCCCAAGTCTATTAAGAATGATAGAATTCAGCATATACATTCTAGTTAAAAAGGAT